GCCAAAAGCCTCCTTTGAGAAAATCCATGTCAAGGATAGAAACACAGGCACAAATAAAGCCTTCAGCCTGTTTGTATTGTGGAGGTTTGCAGTAATGCAATTCAGGGCACACTTAGATGCATTTCCTGAGCTAGTTACCAGTGCACTCTTGTCTGAGTTATTTGAAGGAGTTATGAAAGAAAACCAGAAAGGGCTATTTTTCTAAGAACCAATGTAATCCCAAGAACCACAAGAGTTGTACTCACCGGGATAAATATAACTCAAGTTATAAAGACATTCTCCACAATTCTATAGAGGTCAAATGGGGATTTGGCTCACGAGATACTCCAGAGAAATCAGTGGGGCTTTGTTACCTTGAAGACCCTAGCACCTCATCAACAGCAACAGAAACAGGATCCAGCAGAAAGGAAAGTGTGGCCAATTAAGAATTTATTATTAATAAGTAATCAGGGGAGCAGGAGGATTGCAAATAACAAGAATGACATGGGGGAACCCACCTATTTTCACTGTCTGGACTTGGAAACATGAGTGATAATTCCTCCAGTCCTCCCTAAGTACCTGATGGGGGTCCCGGTCCTGTTAAATGTTGGGGAGTTGGGAACAGAAGTCAGCCCAACACAGTTCCACATTTCATCAGTTCCACTCAGCAGCCCTGTAAGACAAGCATTGTTCCCCATTTCACAGAGCAGAAAACGGGCTCTTTAAAGGAATGTATCTGTAATAAAGGGAAGGTTTATTATTTCAGTTAAGACTGAAGGATACTTAGTTTACTCTTCAAATTTGTTGAGCCAGTATTGTTATGTATCTGCACTACATTCATAATCTCATTGAAAAATAATTTTCATTGCTTCTCAAACTCCAGAAAATAAAAGGAAAAAATGTCACATATCTTTTTTTTTTTTTTTTTTTTTTGACTGAGTCATGCTCTGTCGCCCAGGCTGGAGTGCAGCGGGGTGATCTCGGCTCACTGCAACCTCTGCCTTCTGGGTTCAAGGCATTCTCCTGCCTCGGCCTCCCGAGTAGCTGGGACTACAGGCGTGTGCCACCATGACCGGCTAATTTTTTGTATTTTTTTTTTTCAGTAGAGACAGGGTTTCTCCGTGTTAGCCAGGATGGTCTCGATCTGCTGACCTCGTGATCCGCCTACCTCAGCCTCCCAAAGTGCTGGGATTAGTTATCACATAGAAATGTGCCCCAATTAACACTCTAGTGTATTTAATCTCAGATTTTTTTTAGTTCATCTGTTATATGTAAGTATACATTTTTAATGAGACAATAAATGTATAGATTGCTTTTTAAATTGCTTTATTAGCTTTAAATTTTTCCATGCAAATGGGTGAAACTACTGCTGACAGAAACTTAGACTGAGTGCAAAGGCAATTTCCAAATAGAAGCTGGCAACACAAGACCCACTTGACACATGGAAATAACATAGGGTTCACAGCAAACGGATCAGTAAAGGCATATTAGGAATATGCAAGGAAAAAGAAAACAGCGGGAATCACAGTATTAATCTCATGATAAATGGCAGGAGTCAAGGCATAAGGCAAAATTCATCATGATGGTCATGGTGATTAGAGAGCTCCCCCATAAGGATACGCAGACAATTCCTCAACTGCAGCTCCCTAAGTTTTCTCCTGATTTCTCTCATCTCCTCCATGAATATTTCCATATCATCTCCATCTCCACCCATCCCATCATTGATCTGCCTATTGGGTATGGCCCATCGAAAATTAGGGGCAAGTCGGCGCGCCTGTCCCCGTCGATTTCCTGCAGGCTGGTGGCCTTCACCTCCTCCCAAAGGGCGGTCTTCCTCTCCATTCTGCATAGGCTGCTCCATCTCTTCGTTTTCCTGGTGAATATTTGCCATGATGAGATTTTTTTTCTGGTTGTTTTTCTTTGAACACAAGTAAGACAAAGGCAAGGAGAGAGACTGAATGCTTGGTGCACTGACCAGCAGGATTCAGAGTCCTGATATCAAAGGATTTTTTTCATTTCATTTTTTCCCAAGTTGGAAGTTCCGTGCGTCCTCTAGGGGGCCTCCAATTAGAGCCCCTCCCTCCAGCTTTCTCCCCTTACCTCCCTTCCCCCAAACCCACCATTTTTCCTTTCCCAGGATTCTTTCCCAGAGCTTCGCAGGCACCAAAATGGAGGACCGGTATAGGAGTGGGGGATGGGGTGGAGGGGGTTGGGGTCTCAGACTGGGCTTTCCTCACGTTCCGACCCCCGCCCCACCACCGTCCCTCGAACCGACCTGGGCCTATCCTTGCAGTTTCCTCCTCCTCCGGATTCTCGCTGCTAGGTGCGCCGCGGGGACACTTAGCCTCGCAGACCTGCAGTCGGGCCGGGGTGGGGGGAGTGGGGGCTGCTGCAGCGGCACGCTAGCG